GCACATTGGCTGTTCAGAGCGAAGAGATTGGCTGGCCAGGTTATGTCCTCATTGCCACGATCATCATCTTTGTTGGCTTCTACTGTAAGTACCCTCACTATGCTGAAGTCGTTTTTGTCTTCCCTTCCGCTATCACTAGACCAGTGCTAACTTCAATCAGCTAGTGGTGTGGCTACCGTGGCATGGATCGGGACCGAGCTGATTCCTATGGAGGTCAGAGCTGTTGGAACGATGTTGAATACGGTCACATGCTGGAGTACCAACATCATCATCGCCTCGACTTTCCTTTCCATGATGAAAGGCATCACCCCATCAGGGGCCTTCGGCTTCTACGCAGGCATCTGCTTCGTCGGCTGGCTATTCGTTATCTTCTGCTTCCCTGAAGTCAAGGGAATGCCACTCGAGGCCATCCGCGAAGTGTTCGAACACGGATTTGGCGTCAGATATGCGAGGAAATGGCAGAAAGAGAACAGGGAGTTTGCAAAGATTAATGCAGGCAATTCACAAGCCTTTGGTCACTAATCAGAGGTTTTCATGTATGGATGACATGAGCCTGGCGAGTAGGTTCTTTTCATGTGGATATCTTAGTTGCGCTTGATATGTCGCTTCTCGCGACGCGACGAATACATTGCTTTACTTCAACTTGCACAGGTCCCAAGCACACATATGGCATGCATGCGGTGAAGTGATGAGATAATATTTCGGTGTTGGTGTCAAGTCCCCTAACCAAGTACCACGGTTCCAACACCGGATCCCCCAGCCCGTAGCCCTACCAACCGGACCCCTTACCAGGCCAGCATATCAACAAGACATGCAAAATACTTCTCCTTCCTACCCCTCCAGCCACCTCCGTCTAAACGCACAAGCAAAGTCCTCACGATGCGCAAAGCAAGCCTCATCGCCATCCTCGCAACCGCCATCACCAGCGTAACAGCCATCGACAAAATCGGCCGCTCATCTTCCAGCTGCATTGCCTACGCCGTCACCGATGAGGCCTGGACGGAAAACAACATGAGAAGACGGCGGGTCGTATACGATACCACGAAGAGCATTCTGCATTACGACCAGACCATGTATAGTATTGGGTGGATGTGGTCGAACGAGAAGGAAGGTACGCAGCGTGTCATATCCCATCAGTTGTTGATTGACTACTGACTGTTGGCATTCATAGCATGCAAAGCTCGTACGGTAGATACCGTCGTGTACTACAACGGCATCGTCGTTCCGGCAGGCGCATACGTTATCGACAGCAGCGAGATACTGAGTGAAGATGGGGATCGCGCGCATCAGTGTCTTTTGGATGTGTTCCGGACTACTTTGGGAAACAACCTGAACTGCACAGTATGATTTAGGTGTGGAGTTTAGGTAGTGAGGAGGAAGGGATCGGCATTGAACTTCGGGGGGTGGGGACTTGGATTTGCATTTGCAGACTATTGAACGCGAAGGTACATTTTGAATGGGATATGTTGCGCTTCGAGATAGAGGGACAAGCTTCTTCCTACGCTTCCCACCTCTTCGTGTTATCTCCACTCTTCACCTGCAAGTAATTCCCAGCAATCGGGGCTTTGAGCCCAGCATCCACAATGAACTTTGGCCAGTCAATGCCGAACCTGCTGCTAACAGCCTGTTGATGCGCAGCCGGGACCGCGAAGTTTGCCGGCTGCTCATGCAGCAAGAATACGTAACGATGAGTGGGAGGCGCGCCAGCGGGTGGTGCAGGACCAAAGTACGACGAAGGTGTTGTGGCTGTCGTAGTGAGGACTGATGTGCCGTTCTGCTTGGTGCCGGATGGCGTGTAATCCTGCAGAAGGGCATGCAGGACGGTTGATGCACGGCCGTTTTGGGTGACGTCGATGTCTGAGCAGTGTCAGTGTGGTGCGTTTTCGATAATGAAAAGGGGACATACCGATCATTGCAAGCAGGTACTTTCCGCTGAGTGTTGTGTTGGTGAGACCAATGACAGGAGCCTTTGCCGTTGCTGTTTTACATCAGTATGGCACATCATTCTTTGCACATCGGGTTCATACTTGATTTCCTAACAACGAGACCGGGACTGATGTACTGGGTCCCGTAGTAGACATCCAGCGTTGCATTGGTGGCAGGAGTGAAGCCCGAGGGCGTTGTCTGCGCGGTGGCCGACGCAGCGAGGACCAGCGAAGATACAATGGTCGTGAACTTCATTTTGACACGTTTTTAGTAGGAGTGATGGATATCAGGGTCTCAGACGGTGATTTTCTGAGAGCAGTCGACGAACAACATCATAAAGGCCCCACTGTGGCATGATTTGGTCTGGCGGCTCCACTACAGCCATGCTATCGACATGCGGGTGCTCTGCAACATGTTGAGTACAGGCCAAGAGAAATTTAGAAAGGCAGGATGTTTATAGATGAGGCTTGAATCTAAGCGAATCTGATATGTTGCAGGCTGAAGGGGCCTTCATTCCGACCCCTGTCGCCCCCGCAAACTATACATACGTGTTATCGGCACTTGACTTGAGTGTCTTCCTTTCCGTCGCAAGCAATTTTCCAGTGTTGAATCTCGGGATGAAGTTCTTCCTCGCTCTTGCTATAGGCTTGTCTGACACGGCTTTGGCGTGGTCACATGATAGACGAGTCCAACTTGATGTCCCAGCTTCGGGTACCCAATTCTATCAGCTGCGGTCCTCGTCGTACGTCTAATCCTTTGGAATATTCTATATTGAATCGCTGAATATCGAACACAGCGACGATCCGTCCCTGGACAGCCAATGGGTGTCTCTGCCAGTCAGTTCTTTGGACATACGCACCTACGTACTCAGCGACAAACAGGATGCCGCTAGCAAGTTCTATCTCGTGAAGTACAATGCAACGAACACGTGGGAGCTTCATGCGGCCGAGGATGGGGATCGACAGGTGGTGTTGCATAGTCGAAATCAGTCTAGTGAACTCCTATACATGAGCGATGTACTGCGTCCGGGTTCGACCGGCGTGCTTGAGGGAGAGTTGGCGGAGTGGGGGGTCTTCATCTTGGATAACAACGTCCTTGATGTTAGAGATGGGAGTGCGCTAACGGAAAGGTCTTTCGTAGCTGTGCACCCGGAAGCTGAAGGTGGTGTGTATGAGATTGCGCTGTATGATGGTAAGTGCTTTCCTTCGAGCGGCCGGGCTTTGATGTTGACACAGTTCAGGACAAGGCACTGCTTCCTTGAGGACGCTGACCGGTATCGAACTGAACTTTGTGAGGCTTCCAAGGATTTAAAGTTGTACACAGTAAACTCAAGAAGTGTGACATGGTCCAAGGCAGCAAGTGGTTCTGGCTGTTGGTGTTGTTTGTCTGTGCGGCTATCGATAGCGACTTCCCAAAAATCCAACTCCAATCTTGGCATCCCACCAACGCCGCTCCCATTGTCGACAATCCACCAGCCCCGCCCCTGCGCCCGCCGCCTACACACTGCCCCGATACCAGTCTCTGCTATTCTCACCATGCCGGGCGCCAAGACCACGCTGCTCATCGAGGGCACCTTCGAGGAGCTTACCGACGAGTTCGCACAATACATCGACAGCCTCAAAAAATCCCAGGGCGACGAGAGCGCCAACCTCCAGGGCGAGAGCGCGGACCTGCTCAAGGAGAACAAGAAGGACGATGTGCTCAAGAAGCTCGTCGTCGGCAGCCAGGCGCTGAACCAGGCGCCAGAGAAGGGTACGGCTGCCGCAATGACTCGAGGGGTCGTTCTGATGGAGAAAACACCGGGCTAACAATGAGTGCGCAGAGTTTATCGCGGCCTACAACCTGCTCATCCACCTCGTAAACCAGTCGCCAAATGTCTCCATCTTCATCCCCAAGATGTGCCAGAACCTGAGCACGCCCATCTCCTCGTCGCCTCTGAACGGTGGTGGTCTTGCGCTCTCCATCCTCAGCACCATCTTCAACACCACCCAGCCGGACAGCGAGACGCGCTACCACGTGCTCCTTGCCATTCTCCGTGTCATTCGCGCCACATCAAACTTCGAGACACTGCGACCACAACTCAAGCAGCTCGACAGCTGGATAGCCGCATGGAAGACCGGGGAGGAGGATTCGCGCAAGCTCTACCTTGCTGTGAGCGACGTCGCATCGGACGCAGGCGAGGAGGAGCAGGCATACACATATCTGCTACGCGCACTCAGGACATTCCCTTCAGAGCAGGCTTCGTCCCCAGAGGCTCGCGAGCTCTCTCTTCGCGCCCTCAAGTCGGCCCTCACACACCCGACTCATTTCGATTTCCAAGATCTCACCGATCTCGACTCGATCCAGGCCCTCCGTAACTCCGACCCCATATACTTCCAGCTCCTTGAAATCTTCAACTCCGATCTTCTAGATGACTACAACGACTTCAAGGACGAGCACGATGGCTGGGTTGAGGAGTCCGGCCTTGACGCCGGTGCCTTGAACCGCAAGATGCGCCTCCTCACCCTTGCGTCCATGGCTGCTTCAGCGGGCCAAGCCAGGTCGCTACCTTACGAGAGGATTGCAAAAGCACTACAAGTACCATCCGAAGACGTCGAGATGTGGGTCATTGACGTGATCCGCGCTGGTCTCGTCGAGGGCAAGCTCAGCCAGCTCAACCAGACCTTCCTGATCCACCGCTCAACATACCGCGTCTTCGGCGACAACCAGTGGAGAGAGGTAGCCTCAAGGTTAGATTTGTGGCGAAACAGTCTGCAGGGTGTTCTGCAGGTCATCCAGCAGGAGAAGCAGAGGTTCGCACAGGAGAAGGAGGAGGAAGCAAACAAGGCCGACCAGAAGGCCGATATGGCGTCGCGGTTCGGCGGAAGGGGCGGACAGAGGAAGCAGCAGAGAGCCATTGATGACGATATGGACTAAGTGGTTACGTCGTCTTGGTGCGCGTTTCCTTCTTTCAAAAGGTGTCGGCTTGGGACGGATGCATTATGAGGCTTTTCAGGTTCATGAACAGCAGCCCTCGAGCTGCATGATAGACAATGCAATTCAGATATATTGATTCTTGAGCGTCTCCCTATAGACTATGAAGCCTGTGTCTGCACAAAGGTGATGTTGATGGGCTTCACGCCACGCTCCTTGAGCTTCTCCACAACGTCCCGGTAGACCTGGTCAGGCTCCTGCTCTGCGTTGATCTTGACAACCCTATCCTGCGACTCGAATTCATTGACCACGGGCATGCTTGTCTCCACGAATGTCCTGAAGCGCTTCTTGATACTCTCGAGGTTGTCATCAGCGCGTCCCGATGTCTCGCCGCGGACGAGAAGTCGCTTCTCCATAACAGCTTCGGAGCATTCGAAGAAGATGGTGAACTTGGAAGGGCAGACGGAGCGTTCGAAAGCGTGGGCCTGGTCGAGTTTGCGTGGGAAGCCTATCATGTTAGACCATGGACTGGAAAGAAGCTGCATGGGTCATCATACCATCAATCAAGAACAGTTTTCCGTGGTTCTCTCCGCTCTCCATGCTGGCCTCCATTGCGTTCTCCAACAGCTGAACGGTAACCTCCATGGGCACAATAGTGCCTTCCTTGATGTACGTCTTGATCATCTCGCCGAACTCGCTGCCCTCGCGGTTCTGCTCTTCGCGCAGCAGATCACCAGCAGAGAGATGCTTGAAGCCATAGTCACTGACGAGCTTCGTACATTGCGTACCCTTTCCGGCACCGGGGCCACCAAGGACGAAAAGGACGGTCACTTCGTCGCTGGACCAGCGGGGAGACTCGCGCGAGCCCGCAGCAGTCTTTTCAATGGCAGGCATCTTTCTAGTGGGGATGTGAAGGCTTCACTTGTCCTTTGCCGCTGGGGGAATGGCCTTGAATAGGTCCTTTGGGTTGGTATCCCTCGCCTTTTCGCTGATCAATTATCGCGTTGAACAGGTATGTGCCTAGTCCCAATATCGCGAGGATGGGCCAGACTTTGAGTGGGGATTTCGAGGGAGGTGTTCGGATGTGTGTCGGAGGCTGCAGAGGTTGAGATAAGAGGTCAGTGTATGCGTCGCATGTATTTTGTATCATCTCTACTCACTTCGTTCGGGCCGGTTGGTTCGCCGGGTTGACGGAGGCGAGATGCGTTTATCCTGGAGGAGGAGAAGGCGCGAGCTGCAAGAAATTGAGGCTGGCGAAGGAGGATACGTTGGCGCGAGATTAGCGAAGACATGATGGTTAACATGGCGGTATGCAGCAGGGGCGACTGTCGTGGCTGCCCGCAGTTGCTCTGATCACTAGCCCAAACGCGACTAGCGTCCACGTACGATATCAGGGCCCAGGCACCCAGGCTCCACCTCCAATGTTCCTTGGTTCCAATACAGACACAGACTTTCACCAGCTCGGTGGCATCTTGATACTTGCTAACAAATATTTCCGGCTAATTCACTAGCACAGCAACACATTGTCTTACAAGCTTTCAAGCTTGTCAGCCCGGCGGTCATGACTGGTACCAGTCTCTTCTCCCGCGCTCACAAGCCGAGAGGGTCTCCGCCCAAGAAGATGCGCGGCTTCCTCGCCTTACCCGGTGAGATCAGAAACCAAATATACGGTTACTACTTCGACTCGGAGCGTCGCTGTGAGATCGCCAGCAAAGGATCCAAATTCACGCAGCGGAAGCCACAGACTGTCAAGTTGTCATCAAATGTAATCGCTACAAATAGCACGACTCCTGCGCCTGATCCTGAGATGAACGCGACTCCTCCTGTTGTGATTCGCTTCTCGAGATCACTTGGCAAATACAAAGCTGTTCAGGGCCTGCGAACGAACTGGCCAGGCTCGCTATGTGCGCTAAGTCTTGTTTGCAAGCAAGTCTACGCAGAGACAGTGAAGTTGCTCTACCAAAACACGACTTTCGTCTTCGATGCGCCAAAGCGGATGACAAACTTCTTCAAATATGCCTCGTCCATCCACTTGGGAAACATTACCAGGTTGCATCTCCACTACAGTACTTATGGAAATCCAAACAAGACCGTGGACGTGGTTTGGCAAGAGAAGCATCATCAAAGTTGGTAAGTATGGTTGCGATAATGACGGACTTGGACGTTGTCCGGTATGCTACACGCAGAAGTAACTAACGCCATGTCCACTTTCAGGCAGCGAGCTTGCGAGGCCGCCTCGAAACAGCTTACTGGCTTACGCGAACTTGAGGTCTGTGTAGAGCTTCATCATGGCCCTCGAAAGATCAGCCTGCGAGAGAAATGGATGACACCTCTGCTTCAGTTTCGTCGGCTAGCGTCACCAAAGAAAGCCGCGCGCGGGACCGTGGAGCCACCACCGCCTGATCAGCGACAGCCAGGTCTTCTGATCGTCAAGGTCAAGTTCCAGCATCTTTACGCCAATTACGCGTCATATACTGGTCTCCGCGGACTGGACCAGGCAAAAAGGGAGTTGTACCTACTCTTCGGGCAGGCTATCGGTCTGGCGATCACAGGGGCGACAGAAGAAGCGGCCCTGTCTGGGTTCAGAGAAGCGTATGAGGGGAGGCATGCACAGTATCAGCCCTATCTCCCAGCCTCTTGGGCGGGTCCATAAGGTTCCCGAAGATATGGCTGTACCGGGTGTTGAAAAAGTCGGTCAAAGAAAAGGTTGGGGGATTGAACAGATATTCCGAGGGACCTGATGTGGGCATTCTATGTGCCACTTGGTATTGCATTAAAGCATCATGCTCATGCACATGAAGGGATCAAATATGCTCAGACCATATTACTGGATATAGACTGATGGTCTTCATTGACATTCACTAAATTCTATGGTCTACGCAATGTCTATCCTCTAAGTGATCGCAAATTTCCAATGCCATGTAGTCCGGCAAAACGCGACTCTTAGATCAAACTACAAATCACTCAGCTCAAGCACTGGGGTTCTGCTTAGTAGCCTCATCATCAACTTGCGCCTTATTCGTAGCAATCTCCTCTTCAACCTCAGGCGGGAAGTCACCAGGTACGATACCAAAGACTCCAACATCACTACGACCCATACCGCCACCCTTCTTCTCCGTCTCCTCGCTCTCCTTCAACACAAAGAACCCAGGGTTCTTCTTCATCTCTTCATCGTCGAACTCAAACACACGCCAGTCGGCATTGAAGAACATGCGGTTGCATACACCCGTGCGCAGGAAGCCCGAATGCGAGACAACAGCAATGACTTTCTCGGGGCGGGAGTAGAGATCCTTGAGACACCTCTGTCCACGTGCTAGGATGGCCTTTTCGGTGAAAGCATACGGGTTCTTGGATCCGCCAGTTGTCTTGTCTGGGAACGAAGGGTCTACGACGGAGAAGTCGTACTGAGGGAATTCCTTAGAGATTTCGTCGATAGGTGTTCCAGTATCACACGGCTTGTCTGCGTTTTCTTGCCAATTCGCGTCAGGTATCACTGCAGTACATATCAGTATTAGTCACATATACATAATGTGTCTTGCTCAGTGACATTGCTCTTACCCTTGGTGCCTTTCTTGATAAGCCAGTCCAGCCCGATAGTGGCAGTCTGGAGCGTCCGCCTTTGAGCGCTGACAACGATGAGTTCAACTTCATTGCCGATCTTGCTCTCTTTCAGACTCTCATGTAGCTCGCGACATTGCTGCTCGCCCAGCTCAGTAAGTGGAGGGTCCCTGATAGACCAGTCGCTGGTGGCATTGTGTTGTGCCTGAGCGTGGCGAATGAGTATGAGCGTTGGCGGCATGATGATATATTACAATTGGATAAGAAGAGTGTATTTGGATGGTGGGATAGACGCGTGACGTAAGATACTTATGGATGGAATTGTTGAATGGTTTTCAAAATCGGATTGCAGGGTGACGCGCTAGTGGGGCGGATGTACCTGCATGGCGAATCTGGAATCGTCGATGACGCAGTCAACTGTCAATCCAGAATTGGCAGGAGCGACGAAGCAAGCTTGAGAAGCGGGCCGAACAAGAAGATGATAGTGCTAGTGCTTGACTTTCGTAAATGTTGTTCATTGATCGTGAAAGGCAGTGAGAGCCGCTCGTTATGCATGTAGACCGTCTACGCGGTGTTGTGCAGTCGTCGTCTACTCTTCCATTTTCTCCTCCTCCTCGTCATCATCGTCGTCTCCTTCCAGCGCCTTCTTTGCCAGCTTCTCAGCTTCTTCCCGGATGTCCTTGGGCACTTCCTCGTGCCTGCCCTTGGTAGGACCGTCGAGACTGCTGATCCATGTCATCTCAAGCTCAAACTCCTTGTCCTTGTTGTCATCGTGTGCGACGTAGATGATGCGTGCTGCCTCCTTGACACCCTCCTCCAGTGAAAGATTTCCCTCGGAGAGATTGAGTTTCTCGAGCTCTGACTTGGCGACCTGGCGGCCCTTGCCTGTAGCGGCACCGTAGTAGCCCTGTACACGTTAGTTCTTGAACATATTTAGGTCAAAAGGGTCTTCATACCCAGTATAGACCGCTTGGCTCAATCATGTAGAGCGATGGCCCACCGTGCTTTGCGCCTTCTTTCTTGCCTCCTGAGCCAACAGTAGGCCCTGATCCGACTTGACCATCTACTGGTAGCTCGGCCTCGGAGTCCCAGCCTGCAAGGATGGCGGTTATACCAAAAGGACGGACACTCGAGTAGAGAGTATACGCTTGGGCATAGCTTCCCATGCGGTCGGCGAGAGACGAAGAGGGGATGGGTGCCTTGTAAAGCTGCCGCCATTGGGCTGCCTCATCGCGGGCACGGGAGACGAAGTGGCGACCATCGGGGAGGAGACCGGAAGACACAATGCCCATGTTGCGGTCCACAGTTGCTATCCGCTTGTTCGCGCCGGGCTTGAGCAACTTGCTGCTGACGAGCTTCTCCAGAGCGAGTACGACGCCATCCTTGCACTTGATGCCGACCGCTGTGCCACCGTTCTCTACTGCCTTGACCGCGTATTCGACCTGGAAGTTTCGACCGTCGGGCGAGAAGACCGAGTTGGACAGGTCGTAACCTGTACCTATTGACGTCTACGCCATGGTTAGATCGACTGGGGTGCTTCAGCTGTTACGGTGGGGTGTTTACCATGGTGGGCGGTGTGGAGACTGAGAAGGGCGCTTTGTGTGTTCCGGGCGATCAAATGGACCGCAGATTCTAGGGAAGCAATTACGGGATTGTCAAAGGTTGGCAGTCGTGTGTCTCGGTGTTGATGATTCTAGGCAATGGTGTATCTGCGCAAGCTCCAGGTAGCTCACTAGCGCGCGTGCGTGCCAAGGCCGACACCTAGAGGCATCAACCCGCGTACGTGAACAGCAACTCGCGAGCATTGCAACTCTCGGTCCTCCTTGCTTCGTCCAGAACTGTTGGCGCGATCCGCCTCCTCGTTGCTGGCGCTACTGGTGTGTTCGCTGCCTGCTGTCCCGGCTTCTTCCGTCTGGGCCTCCAATTGCCCGCACCTCACATCCAAAAGTGCATACGCCCATACACATTTGATGAGTTGTCGTCCCAAATCGACCACTATTTGCAAGCTCTCAAGACACATCATTGGCTGCCAGCAGACTAGCCGGACAGGTTGGGTTTCAGCTTCGTCACTAATTGGACGTGGGCGACAAAATTATCAGAATCATCCCGCCTACACGCATGACCCCGACAGCACGCTATACTCAACGGTACATAAAGAACCACCATCACGCTGCTGCTAATTTTCTTCTTGCCCCCTCTTCACTGCTGACTTGGTCCAAGTATATTTGAACACCTTTCCGTTTGTTCTTGACTCACAAAGGCACCCTTTGTCATCCCCCGCCGATTGTCGTCAGCGCCCAACGCAAGCGCGGACAAGTACGATTCCAAGTTTCCAT